ACAAATTCTAAGTGCAGAGAGCCATACTACAGAGCAAGATGGAGGGAGGAAACGAAAAGGAGCTGCAGCAGAACCTTTAGATCATAGACTGTTTGCTCTGCATCCCAGGTATACACCTGAAGCCTCTGCATTTATGTGACTATCGGTTTGTTCAATCATCTAAATAACAAAGAACATAGATGAATTTTGGTATTTGAATTATAAATCACTGAAATTTAGAGGAGCCTACAATAAAGCTTTGTACAGCATGCACACACACACACAGCCGTAGGATCCACTGCTCCAGGCTGACTGGGACTGCTCAGCACAGGCCTGCAGAGTCTCCAGTGGCTTTATTTGGGTGTTTTCACATTAGGCATGATTGCCCCCCCCCCTTCACATTGCTAACATTGCATGTGCACACAATCCGATACAGTAAGTGGCAGCATCCAGCTAGTTGGTTTGCACTCCGCCAAGAAGACAAAAGATGAAGCAACTACTCACGTCATCATGTGGGCGACATTTGTTTCTGTTTCACACACGTGTAAATACTGATGAATACTTCCATGAATCTCAGTTTTTCTGTGTAGTATCCAGCTGTCTCTCTTTTCATCAGCCCAAATTTCAAGCAAGCATTTTACTTCTTCATTACTCCAGAGAGATCCTTTCACAGCCATGTTTGTTACTGTTCAAACCGACAGAATTGAACAGTTATGAAGTCACATAGTAGCCCCCTTCCTTGTTAGACCACAGTCATGTTCACATCTCCCACAGCCTGTACTCCGGTACACTTGAATCGTGCGCGAGACAACCTCTCATGTTTGTTACTGTTCAAACCGACAGAATTGAACAGTTATGAAGTCACATAGTAGCCCCCTTCCTTGTTAGACCACAGTCATGTTCACATCTCCCAAAGGGTCTCAGTCAGTATACTTGAATCGTGCGCGAGACAACCTCTTCAAGTAGACTCAGGTACGCTGCCCAAGTCCGGTACACTTGAGTTCACACTGATCAAAATGAACCGGACTTTGGGGTCAAGTGTACTTAGATCCAGGCCCAGGTCCCTAATGTGCGACCACCCTTGGAGTTCAACAACACAGACCATTTTACCCAGTATGCTGCAAAATGAGGCCACCCAATCATCTCTTTCTAAATCCCTACAAGCGATTATGTTCTCTGTCAAATGATTATTTTGTGGATAAAATTTTACAGCAGTTACCATAATTACCATGTAGTGGTGATGTCAGCAGTAACTACAGGAAATCTTGATTCTGTGATCGTGTGTTACCCATCGTGGGAGCAGAAGAGTTACTCTGTGTGTCCCATTAGAGATTAAACCTTCCCCAACTACTTTTTAAAACTAAAGACTTTTTTCCAGGAAGTAAAGAGGTACAAAATATAATGAGAATAATGAGCATCCACAGTCCGTCACAGCTTGCCTACAAGTATGCATGTTGCTATTTTTTGCTTTCTTGCAATTGTTGCTTTTAATGTTGTAATCTAATGTTTTATCTACAGTATTTCTGTGAATTGTGTACTGCCTTTGTATAAATAAACTTGCCTTACAATGCTACAATGTGTGTGGCATTAAAGGTTTCTATGACTTTAGCAGTTATGTCCTATTGCATTATTAGGACAGATGGACAAACAGACACATGGATTTATCTGCCACCACACAAAGGAATCCTTATCCTTTAAGTCCAGATGTTATTAAAGAGCCCATGGCATGCTTTTCTTTTTTTTCTGACTTATCTATAAAGTTACGATGGTGAATTATCTTCTTAGATGTCACAAACTCTCGCTTGGAGGTTTTTTCTAACAAAATAAAGTCTTATGTGATAGTTTAAAGATTTCCTTGAATGGTTATAATCTCCAGGCAGTTGTACTTTCATGTGAACTTGCCTGGCATCCACCAGTCCCACTGTAAAAGTAGCATTTATTGACGGTGCCCAGTTTTGTGCATATCTTTTACCTCCTGCTGCACTGTGACCAGAGGATGTGGAGAAAAATACTGTGCCTGAGATTAATGCATGTCATGAGAACAGGCAACAGGAGTTGTGCGCATTCACAAACTATTCTCTCATTTTTAGGAAGAAGCTGTCTGGTTTAATCATTCTGAAATAATTACAGACTATTTGGAGTTATGATGCATGCAAAGCTAATCTACAGGTACAAGATTAAACATTAAATGGCTGGAAATGAGCTAAATGAGTAGCCATGGGCTCTTTAACCACTGAGTTCAAGCTGTAACAAACAAAACAAAGTTGCACCATCATGGAGTTTAATTACTAAGTGTCCCACATTGCTTATGATGAGAAATGATTCACTGAGCAGGAACATTCTTCATTAATAATTCAGGAATACTGTGTTACAACCAATTTATGTTCAGAGAGGTCACACACATCTGCAATTCTTCTACATATTGAACAACACCAGACGCTCCACATTTCCTGGAATGCTGACAAATTCTAAGTGCAGAGAGCCATACTACAGAGCAAGATGGAGGGAGGAAACGAAAAGGAGCTGCAGCAGAACCTTTAGATCATAGACTGTTTGCTCTGCATCCCAGGTATACACCTGAAGCCTCTGCATTTATGTGACTATCGGTTTGTTCAATCATCTAAATAACAAAGAACATAGATGAATTTTGGTATTTGAATTATAAATCACTGAAATTTAGAGGAGCCTACAATAAAGCTTTGTACAGCATGCACACACACACACTCACTCAAAAATAGTACAACAAACAGATCTATTTATTCAGCTCTACTGGAGATTTCATTCATGCCATTTAATTCAGAAACCTAGAAATCCTTTTTAATACTTTCCCTGTCACTCAGTAAGAAGTGACGCCTCTTTCTCTCCCCAGTTTGACCATAATTTTTTATGTCAAACCATCCAGTTTTTTGGTCTGGTGAACACAGTGCGCTCCCTGTTATCATGTTTGCATAGACAAATCCCCTCTGACTTTCTACGTGGCACCTTAATGTTATAAAACTGCTCAAGAGTAAAACCAACCACCAGGACTTTCTGGGTTTGTATAAACTCTGTATATACTGTATCTAATTTCCTTTCATTCAGAAATGAAAGCACTTAGAAGGGGAAATCACTAATCCGAAGCATTCATTGTTAAATGAAAATATGTTTAAAAATATAATTTTTTAAATGTATTTTCAGTTTCTCAACTTAAAATTTACATCTCAGTTTTAGATCACTGTAAATGTCTTTTGTTTCTGAATGGACAAATTATGAGGCACTGGGCCCGAGCACAGACCTGTAGGAGCCCCCCCTACCTACCTACAAGGAAGGCCCACAGGCAAAAGAGCATCCTTTCACTCATTTTGCATCTCTGTGCTGATTTTTGTGCCTATATTTTATTGTTGCATGTCTTTCTGGTCATTTTACATCTCGTTGTAATCATTTTGCATCTGCATCTCTCTGTATTAGTTTTGTTAACTCTTTACTGTTGTTTTTAATTTCTTTTTAGGAGCATGTATTGTATCCCCTGGACCAGAGGTAGGTCCTTCAGTAGTCCACCTGTGGGGCAGTCAAAATACAACACATGAAGGTCTTACTTTGGACGCAGAGAGACCTGGATACTTTTCAGTTTCCTGCCATTTTGTACTACACATTTCATCAATTAGTCAATACATCTTTATTGGGAGGGTTTGATTACTCAATTAATTGCTTATCCATTAAATGACAGAAAATAGTGAAATATAAATTCCCATTTCCATGCCTTCTTTTCTGGTCTTTAAAACGGTCCAAAACTTAGTTATTCAATTTACAGTGAGAAAAAAACTGAGAAAAGCAGCAAATCCTCCCACTGGAAAGTTGGAACAGGACATTTACTGACTGATTATCAAAATAGCCAATACATTAATCAACTAAATGTTTCAGTCCATGTCTTAATGAGCCCTGCAGGACATAATGCAGGAGCTCAATAAAGGTATGATACACCAGTTCTCCACTGCATAGCTATCAGACAACATAGATTTACAATTGTTTCAATAACAAGGATGCCAACTGCTGTAAATCGAACAGTATGCTATGTATTGCATGACCCCACTATACTGGATGATCAATAAGACTGAACCATGAGTAATACGGTTAATTTGGCTGCTACAAACCTCTGAATTAGACCATAAACAGACCTGCCCTGTTCAAAACACAGAGTCAATCTTAAAATGCAAATCGTGCCTCAGCCAGCCCAGTGTAATCTGGTGGAGCACAGAAAAGCAGCAGCTTCTGTCTGAGGGTGTGGGCGAGTGAAGCTTGGGGTACAGGCAGAGATAAACACAGATAAATCAGAGACGAGTTTCCACAACAAGTCGTAGTGATGAGCATTCTGTTCCGTGCTGTACACCCAAACAAGAATTAACAGAGCAAGTCAGCATGCAAAACCACAAACTTGGTCAGCCTCGAACAATACAGGAAACCGGCTGCAGACGCACAACTTACTATATCTCATCGCCACTGACAACCTGGGTGTGTCTCCACACAGGAATATTTACCAACTTGTCTCATCCCCAGCATCAGACCCGAGGCTGCTCACCGCCTCCCTGCATGCACTGATTCAGCCTCGTCCACCGAGCATTCACCCTGACCCGCTGCTGTATAAATCAGCAGTCGGGGAGGTTTCAAACTAAAAGCTCCGGCGCTTTACGAGGCCAACCCTGAAGCTTTAATAGCGCCCCAGTAATTTTCACAGTGAAACTTAACAGACTGCAGGGCACCATTCAAACACTCCAGTCCATTGTGTGGAACCTTACAGGCTGATAATTTGATTAAAATAATGCCCTCCCCTCCCCACCCTCACTTCCACACACTGAAAAGACACATTTCACCAGTGAACGATTTTGTTTGTTTGTTTGTTCTTCGCTTTAAACCCTCCAACTCAAAACTAACACACAACCGCCAGCCTAGCTAGCTGAATGTCTTTCTTCAACAAACTGCTCACAGGCCAGCAGGTGCAACGTCTTCACCTGACACACTTCTCAGGAGAATAAAACACATCTTACCACTCTGCTCCCCCAGAAAGACGAGTTTGAATTTTCTTAAAGGGTTCCCAAAGTCTGTGCTCACGGACATTCTGACGAGGAGAAGGGAACCTCTGGTTACCGGAGGACACTCTGACTGTACTTATGTGGTCCCACTCGTTTTCAGTGTTGGTTGGCGAAGATGCTGGATGGAAAGGGCGGTGGTATTGCTTCCCGTTCAGCCCCACTCTCTCTCTTCGTGACTGGAAAGCACTGCTGCTGCACAGGGCCGTGACGCTCGAGGGTGAGTTGTTTTTTTTTGTTTTTTTTTTACTGGTGCTTCTGCGCATGCGCGTCCTGTACATGCGCTGAACTGACAGCAGTGATATAGGATTACGTCATGTGAGTCGGAAGACACAGGGAAGGGGGCAGAGGTGCTGCAGGGCTACGATTTCATGTCTGATGCAAAGTGTAAATACTTTCATACATTATTTTGTAGCAAACCTAAACGTGTATGTGGCAAAAAAAATCCATCTAGGTAACATTTTAGATTTATAATTAAAGTGATTCTCCAGAGATGTAGTGCTCTAACCTGATAGTTGGGGGATTTGCAAGAAAGAAATTTTAAAGGAATGGGAAAAACATAGCAAACACTGATATTCTCCCTTTAATCCAGGGAATACCTTTAAACTATAAAAGTCAAAAGGCTAATACAGGCCTTTATGTGGATCTCATAGTTTAACTAACAAATTTTCTGCAGTAGCAGAAGTAAATGAAGCCTTGAAAGCTGATGCAAAAATTTACAGGTGTTACAACAAATACTTTCTGTTCAAAGACATTTTTGGAAAAGACTGTGTTACTACCCACTCAGGCTTTAATTGGTTAAAGGAAATGCTAACAAAGGAAGTCAGCCCTTTTCAGAATGTTATTGCCCCCCATTAGAAATGAACAAGACAGTAGGCTCCAAATGATGGAATGGCAGCAGCTCAGCATCCAGACTTTCCAAAAGAGATATGAAAAAGGGATGAAGGCATATATGT